CTTAATAACTCGGAGTTTTACTTTCATCATGGTTTCTGATTTTGTTCTGAAAATAGTTCAAGTTTTTGCAAAATAAAGCTAAAGAAACATGACATTTAGACATAATTTTAATCAATTTACTTCTACAAATATGCTTTACTGTATGTATATTAAATATTTTTTATTTATTTTTGTCTAATCAAAAGAATCAAAATAGAACTAGAACGAGATTACAACACACTGCAATTTTTCTTGTTCATATAATATATTACATAATTTTCTTATACATATCATGTTGACATTGTCATTAATCGGATATATAGTTGAACAGTTTTTTTCAATTCAATTTGCAAAAGTAATGTAAGAAAGGAGTCATGTGTCCCACAACTTGGGAGATTGTCTGATCTCTTTACCTGTCAGGGAAGCAATGCGGTGTAGTGTCCATGTGCAAACAATTTTCTAACCATTTGTTACAATCATTGTACTTTATTTTTCCTGTTTTCTTTTCTTTTTTAATCTGTTAAAAAAATCCCTATTTCATTAGTAGAATATAACTTAATGATTCATCGTCAAAAATTTAGTTATTCAATTATCTAGGAAGAGAAGTTAAACACTTCATATCCCTCGGTATTACAGAAATATCAGATATGTTGCTATATAGACTCTTACGGCGAGGAACAGGATGACAAGATGAATGTGGTACATGCAAAATTGAATAAATAAATATTGAAAATTGAATAATTTACTATTAATTTTTGATACTATTCTGTCAGCCATGCATCTATCCCGCTCCCACCATCTCCATTTCAAAACATAATATAAACTTCAAAATAATCAATATAATACGCAGTTTTCTAAAAAAAAAATCAATATAATATGCATGTAGACATACACTATATGTCATGTGTATATTATCATGATGGAATGGTGACAATAGAATATGTATTTTTAGCAAAGATAGGATTTCGCTGGTACTTGTCTCCATCAATCTCTCAATAGTGAGCGGCTCATTCACATTTGTTCCAAAACTATACATATATTTTTATCTATAGGAGAGATTTTATATTTCTAGACTGAACGAATACGAATACGGCACGTGGATGGATAGTCAGAAGTCTTCGCGCTGATTTTTTTTTTTTATTGAGCAAGAACGCGCTGATGAAGAACCTCCCGAAACTTCTACACTTAGATTTAATGCATGTCAGATAAATACATCGTTGTTAAAGTACATATTTATAATACATTGTTATTAGTATTTTCAATATGAGTAATCTATATTATATATAAGGTTTTACTTTGATAAATATGGTATATATTATTGTCAACATAAGAAGTGATGGAGGTTCCCCATCACAAAAAGACATTATGAAAAAGTTAAAACGAAAAATGGAAGATACTGTAGTTTATAAGAATCGAAATAACTTTTCTTGACATTACAAAAAAATATGTTTTCTAACATATCTACATATTAAACTATTTAGCATGTGTTTTTATTGTTTGTTTGTTACCAAATAGAAGTAAAAAATATAGTGAAAAACAAGGGAGACATCAGACATTGTGACCTGAAACATTATTGGTGATTTTGGGTCCTTCGTGATTCAACTCCTAAAATGGTGTTAAAATCCAATGTTGGGCCGAAAGATACACAGTATTTACCCTTATGGCCTTATCATATTTACACTAATGTATAAGGTGTATGTTAAAGTGCCTAAGATTCCTGAAAAGTGGGGCACGTAAGGTAAGTGTTGATGTGTCATGTTGTAGGGCTTTCGATATGCCATCATTTTATAGTGTATGCTTCTGCCGAAACTATCGATATATATACATATCTAAGTATCTAACACTAATATGCGGTTGTTGACAAAAAGAAAAATAAAAACACTAATATGCGGTTGGTAACACCTATTAAGACTTAAAACATTCTTATTAAGTGTGTATTTATTGAGAAGAATCAAATATTCAATCAGCAATTATGATGAACTAGACTACAAATATTTAGTTAAACCATAAACAATATTGATTCCATTCTGTTGGCTTGTATAATGCACCAACCCTATATAAGTAAATTAATCATAATGGCCTATATCCGGATTATGAGCATCGTCCTAGGGATGATTCACTATTCCAACAAAAAAAATTATGAAAATTTATCAATTGCTCTTACACTTATACTGATTTCTCTATAATAGGTCATCTATATATCCTACAACTCTTTATGATTTAAATACGCTAAACTTCTTAAAATCTGTAATAAGTTCATCATTTTGGTTTTCTTTAATTCTCTTTGTTTGGAAGATACATGAAATCGGATGATTATGAAAATGTTGTTTCTTTGACTAGGTTCGGTCTAAATTTTACTTGTACTTTTTACCACCTTTATTTACTTCTAAATACTTTTCTAGTCTAAACTACTTATAAATAATTTCAGTAACTCTCATTTATTAATTTTTTGGTCAAACAAAGAAAATTGAAAAAAAGGAAAGAAAACCGAAGTTATCCACATTACTAGCCATTCGACATGACATTAGAAGTGATTGGTCCATTTGGCTTTTATGAACTGACAGTTGTTTGGTTACTCGTTTTGGATTTCATATATTTTATTTGATTTATTTACACAAATCTACAATTTTAGAGTAATTATTCAATGAAACACCCAACAAAAAAAACATCTATTATATAAAAGTTGGGTTGTGTCTCACAATCTTGACACATCAACATCTATTATTTTGACACATCAGATTTACAAAATAATTTATAATTTATTTTATTGATTTTTAATTTGTTTAGAAAACACAAAAATCCTAAATCATTAAATACAATACAAAAAATTCTTAATAACAATAAACTTCTTATCTTTTTTATTTTTTTTTGGGTTAAAATTCTTCTGCTTTGATTTTAGTGAGAGAGAATAAACCATTATTTATTCTTATTCTATTGATTATTGATGAAGATAGTCCAACAAAAAATCAAATGTAATTTGAGAAAACAAAAAAAGATCAACTGCATAATCTCTGAAAAGCTTAATGAATATAAGGAAGTCAACAACATAAAATTATGGAACTAAAGGTGAATGATCATCTCTTTGTTTATAGCCTGCATTTGGATTACAAAACTTTTTAGTTTGTATGTTGCCTTTAGATTTTAAATCTTGACAAATCCTTGTTCTGTTGTAATCAAACTTATTTGTATGCTCAAAAGTCCAAATAATATCCCTTTAAAAGGAGTCAAGAAAATGAATACAACATATTTAGAGAAAAAAAATATTTTTAGTTGTAATGACTAATGATGACTAAGGAATTTTTGTTTTGTAAAAAGTCGTATTTCTCTGATGCAACAAATTATTCGGAAGTACTTGTAAAATTTACCAATACGTTTCATGCATAAAACTTCACAACTTTAGATGTAAAAACTAAAATTTGTAACCAAATGAAGGGAATGATAAATCTTATTAACTTTAAAAATTCGAAATAATACAACTAAAATCATGGAAGTAAGTAACTATTTTGGAAAGAAATTTAAATAAAATAAAAATCTCATAACTGTAGAGTTTGAATTTTTAAATTATTTTTTCGTATTCTATAATCTTTTCACACGAATTTCATAATTGTAGGATTTGGATTTTTAATTTGTTTTCAATTTTTATATGTTTCTTTGCCTAAAGTTGTAGATTTGGGCTTATATGCCAATTTTCTGTACCAAAGTTTTCTACTTCTACATAAAGCATCCCAAAAAGTAAAACAGATGTTAAGAGGATGAAATTGTGTGACCAAAGCCTCGGTAATCTTTTCAAGCATGCAAGTGTTCTTAAGATTTAGCATATGGAACTATGGAACCATAAGACGTCACTTTGAGAAAATTTGGGCTGATAGTTTTTAAATTCGCTTTAGTTAACGAATATTAAAGTTAGCGATTAAATTCAAGTGAAAGATTTAGCACAGAAGACTATCTCCAACGTGAGATCTATAGTGATTTCATACTAAAAACTTGGTGAAAAAAAGTGGTCATAGGTTTAATACAATTTGGGATATCACAGTTAGAACTCCATTATATTCATTTTTGATTTCAGAAGAGTTTATGAAATACTTTACCAATTAAAATAGGAAAATCCGAATAAATTTATCTATTTATTTATAGGATATGCTTCTTGAGTTTATAACCATAAGTTGATATTTTATACTTAGTATTTGTTGGATTATGAACTCTAGATTTTGTTTAGTATAATATGTGTTTGATTAGCTTTTTTAAAGACAAAATAATAGCTAAAAATAAACTGATAAAAATTTTACTTTTAAAAGAACTAAATAACAACTTTTTTTTACATGTATATGATAACCTAAAAAAAAAATTCTGAATTGAGTTTATTTAAAACTACAAAAAAGCTTAAAAATATTTTAAAAAACATTAAAAAGCATAGGTAATCATCTAGTTTTCTCTGTAAATACTAAATACCCTTCTGTAATGGCAGAACCAATTATTCTTCGTCGAAGCCCTACATGCTTCTAATTTACCATTTGTTTTTGTGTGGCATCACTCAATTTTTCTTCGAAATCCCATTTTTATCCTCTCACTCCTTCCCTTAATTTTCTTCTTATTACTTGATTTTTATCACAAAATTTTATCAACGATATGCACGTGGAATTCCAGAAGGTAAAATCTCTTTCTGCTGTTTCTTCTTGGCTCCCAAGAGGCCTTTTGTATTTATTGTAAAGGCAGATTAGTATGTCCTTTTTTTATACACAACCCACATATAATACATGTGCATATATATTATATGAATGTATGTAGATGTGGCCTATATGTTGGATATGCAATTATATAATCATTATCAGTTGAAGCTTTGTACAATCTATCATTAACTTGATTCACTCAAATAATCTCTCTACCTTCTCTCTTACTCCTGTGTAACAATCTTATCCTCCCTCTTTATCCTGTTATGTTTTATTCTAATTTATTTTGATTCTTGGTTGAAAAGTTTCATGTATCCGTTATCTCTGTCATCGAGTTCTTGCTGTTGGGTTTGGTTTAATTCAAAGATCATGTCTGTGTTTTATTTATTTATCTTGTATCTGTTTTATGTAAATTTCAAATGCTGATTATTGGATTAGTAGTCAAATTGGAAATGGTGATAGACAACCAGGATATTCTCTCTGTTTCTTTCAGTCCAAAATGTTATTTTTTTCCTTCTCTCAATCCAAATCTGATCTCTATCTTCTGTTAAAGTTTTAACTTCTTAAATCCCAGTTGTTATTTACATGTAGATTTGCTGACAAACTGGTGAAAACTAAGAAACAAAAGAAGCAATGGCACTTACTTGGACTCATAGAGACAGAGGAGAAATTAGGGTCCATGAGAATTTGGAGGAACTAAGCATAGACTTGGTAGATTACATAGCTGAGATATCAGAAGCATCAATTAAAGAACATGGTGCTTTCTGCATTGCGTTATCAGGAGGCTCACTCATTAGCTTGATGGGGTAATTACAAATGTTACAAATACGTTTATTAAGTCTGTTAAGATCCCATTTTTTAGTCTCAAGTTGATTGATCTCCTAATGGATTCTTGTAACAGAAAATTGATCGAGCAGCCTTACGACAAGATTGTAGATTGGGCTAAATGGTATGTTTTTTGGGCGGATGAGCGTGTGGTAGCTAAAAGCCATGACGATAGCAACTACAAGCTCGCCAAGGATAATCTCCTCTCTAAGGTTAGATATTTGGATTGAGTTTTTGATTAACTTTTGGATAGAAGAATCTTGAGGCTATCTGGTTTTCTTGAATGCTGACTTTTTCCCCCAATCCTTGCTTGTTTGAGAAGAAAACAAATATGAGGATCGTGGATCTAAACCAGTCACAGTCTTGGTCAATACAGCTTTGTGTGTGGGTTGTCTTGTTATGATATTGACTTTGTTCTGATTCTTGCAACTTTTGTTTTCCAGGTAAATGTGTTTCCGAGACATATATGTTCCATTAACGACACAGTTTCGGCAGAGGAAGCTGCAACAGAGTATGAGTTTGCCATCCGACAGATGGTGAGAACACGAACCGTGGCTGCTTCTGAGAACAGTGACTGTCCCAAGTTTGATCTGATCTTGCTTGGGATGGGCTCCGATGGGCATGTAGCCTCGCTCTTCCCGAACCACCCAGCACTTGAGGTGAAGAACGATTGGGTTACGTTCCTAACCAACTCTCCTAAACCGCCACCAGAGAGGATCACACTCACTTTCCCCGTCATTAACTCAGCCGTTAACGTCGCTATAGTGGCAACCGGCGAATCCAAAGCCAGTGCCATTCACTTAGCAATCGATGATTTGCCATTACAGAGCAACTCTGTCTCTCTGCCTGCACGGCTGGTCAACCCAAGCAACGGGAATCTGTTCTGGTTTATGGATAAACCAGCCGGGTCTAAACTTGACAGGTTTAAATTTTCTGAGTAGGATTTAAAATTTCCAAACGCAAATGGATATTTTCATCTGTGATGACCCTTTTTGTATGAAGAACATCCGGTTTAGAAACATGAGTTTTTACATTTCGAACCATGCAAGTTTTAACATACTACTCAACTCTAGTAACTATAACAAAACATGGTGCGCAAATTAAAAAAAACAAACTAATCTCACACGAAGATAGTGTTGGAACCGGGACTAGTTGCCGTGGCTTAGAGCATCGGCCTCGGCTCTGGCCATAGGATCATCTTTGATATCTGTATCTTCTTCCATCTCGCCTTGTCGGTCTTGCGCCAGTTTCTTCCTGTGAAGTTCCTCGGCAGTCTCCATCGCAGCCTTGTTCTCGGCTTGGATCTTCAGCATCTCCTTTTCTTGTTGCTGCCTCTCAAACCATGTGTCTGCATCTGCCCATACTGATAGTGCAACAAAACCAACAAGATTCAATTATTAGGCAATCAGAAATAAGCAAACATAAAAAGAAACAATCAAGAATAAAAAGTGAAAAAATAAAGGCTCTGCTTGATTTGTTGTGAATTTCACACATCGTATGTAAACCATCATAGACTTCAAACTTTTGACATTACGAAGAAAGAAACAGCCTTTGTTGGTTTCCCCCAATTTTCAGAGATAGTCAATGAGAGTAAGCAGCAACATAGACTTGAGCTAACTTCAAATCCGCAAGTCGTAATTCTAATTGAAACCCCTAATTCCAACAAGTCTCGAGCTCCAGACTCAATCATAAACACCCAATGAGCACGAATCGACATCAACAATTAATCAAAATCACTATATCTAGAGCAAAATCAAACAAGACGAGAAGGAATCGGAACGTACGTGGATGCGCGGCCCAACCCTGTTCTCCACCTTTGATTTTCTCGGGGAGGGCATAATTGACGGTGAGAACACGACCATATAGCTCAGCACCGTCCATGTTGTCCATGGCGGCGGAAGCGTCTTCTCTCTCAAGAAAAGTGACGAATCCGAAGGATCTGTGCTTCTGATTCGCCTGGTCCAACGGCGTCTTCACGTCCTTGATGTCGCCGAAAGGTATAAAAGCGGCGTGGAGGATCGATTCGTTTACTTCATCAGCTAAACCTCCTACATACAACGTATTCTTCTGCATCGCTTGCTGCTGTTGAACGGCCGCCATTGTTGGTCCTCCGCTTCGAGTTCCTTCTCTCTCTCTCGCTCGCTTAGTGGGATCTTGTCGACGAGACTGGACAGAAGACGACGACGACGATTTTTTGTTTTGGGTTCAGAGAGGAAAATCTCTCTGATTTAATGGGCGTTTTTACTCTTTCAGGCCCAAGAATCTTTATTTTACGGTAGGCCCAATAATTTATAGAGATCTATTTTCGTTAATTACAAGGATTTTTAAAACGGCAATTAATATACTAGTTGAATAAAGGGTTTTTAGTGAAAAAACAACTCAACTAAGTTTGAATCGGATAAAAACCCTTCAACTATTTTTCTAACGTAAAAACCCCTCAACTAAGTTTTCGTAATGATTTGACGGTACTGTTCACGGAGGGGCTAAATCATTACAAAAATTTAATTAAGAGGTTTTTACATTACAAAAATAGTTGAGGGGTTTCTATCCGATTCAAACTTAGTTGAAGAATTTTTTCACTAAAAACTCTTGAATAAACGGCAATTTTTTCTTGTATCTTCTTATATATAAAAGACAATCAACTCTCTCCAACTGAGTGACACATCAGCAATGGAGAAAGTGACATGTGGCACATCCAAAAATTGATAAAATAAATAATTAATTAAATTTAAAGCAAAACATATTAAAAACATAAATAAAGATTAATATATATATAGAAAAATTAGACTATTTGACACAACCGGTGTAGAAGAGATTACAAATAATATATCATCAAAAAGAAATCAAAGAAAATATAAATATTTTAAACATAAAAACATTCATAATAAACATAAATTTAATACAAATTTTTAAAATATAGTATTTAAATATATATTAAAACAAGACCCTGCGGGTTCTCTCCTAGTTTTACTAGAACTTGGCCACAACAGATCGAACGGCAATTAGTATAAAAGCTTTTTCAGTGTTTACGAACAAGAGTATTTGCGTTTGATAGCAATAAAATTAATGATAATGGAATTCCTTTGTCCAATGATCAAAATAGGTTTTAAAATTGTTATCATTAGAGCATGTATGTGTATGTTTTTTATATGGATATCTAATTTACCCAAATAGACTAATTAAAGAGCTATAAGATTAATAATTAACAAGCATGAACATCATCGCGTCCACAAAGAAGCTCTCCGTTTAGTTTATCCACTGCTTGAAATGTTCCTCCTCCATCACTCCTCTGTTTCAATACAAGAAACAAAAAATAATATATATATTTAAAATTCATTACTCAAAAAAATTTCAAATCATAGTTTATAACCTTACCTTGTAAAAATTGACGGCGACGAAATTGGCCCATCGGTCCCCTGCGGCTACGTAACATGTCTTAATCATGTCGAGAAGATGTTTAGAATTCTCCTCACAAGTCAAGATCTTAACCGGAACTGTCCTGAAGTGGTTTACCAAAACCAAAGCTTTGGTTTTATCGGTTAAAGGTGCAGATTCTGCTCTATTGCTACATTCCCAAGGCTTAACTCCATTGTCTCCATCTGACAATTTAAAAGCACAATGGGATTCATATCGGATTATCTCTATACCAATTAAAAGTAAACCGGAATTTTGTCTATCTCATTACACTCACATTGGTTTTCCACTACATAATTCCACTGGTAAGCTATTCCTTCGGTTTCTTGCTTAGATTTAGCTGAAGTGAAGACGATTAACCGGTGGTTATTAGCAATCATATCTTTAACCAACGGCCAATCTTGGCCAGCCTTAGGCATATTTTGAACCGGAAACCAGAATTTCTTCAAACCGGATTCGGTAAAAACTTTGGTTAGCCCGTTTGGAGATTTGACGTAGTCCTCCAAAATTAATGTCACGATCTCTGATGGATTCGCTGTCAAGAACGCGAATATCTCCTCGAATGTGTATATCGCCCGATTCTAAAATGCGACATAACAAAACACGCATTTACACCCAAAAAATAACATGTTAGGATATTTTCTTTTTCAAAAGGTGTCCTGAAAAATAATAACAATCTTTGGGTATTTTTTTATTACGGAAAACATAAAACAGTCGTTGAAACGTGAATCAAAGACAAAACTAAAGGGTTCAATTAGTGTCTGTGTTTTTCTTTTTTTACTAATTTAAATAATGTTTATCACAGTAATAATTTTGTTAATAATTTTCAAATTGAAATCACAAATGCAAAAAAGAAAATAAAATTGAATTTCTCGTCTGGATAGAATTTTAACACAAGCCTAATATGTGTTTCTGTTCTCTTATATTCAACACCAGCCGCGGTTTTTAAACTGACACTAAAAAGACGTTTTGATTGAATAAGTAAAAACGTTTTGGTTTTACTCGGTATATTTGGTTGTTAGTGAAATGAAGAAATGAACTTACAAACTTGGTGAACTCAAAGCATTTTTCGTTAAAGGAATGGCACAACCATACGTCTCCTTCGTAATCGTACGTATCCAACATCAACGCTCGAACACCGCTCTGAACCAAAACATTACATATAACATTTACATCTTAAGAAACATAAACTAACTGATTTTAATTAATTACGTACATTGAGTTGTTGGGTTATAGTATCTTCTTGGGTTGCCACATGAAGTGGTTTTCCTTCAATGGCATATGAATTGTGGGTCGTCAAGAATGCGTATTTATTAAATGGCATCGAATTGTTCTGTTACCAAAAAAATAATAATAAATAAATAAAAGATTCGTTCTTGTTTGATATAGAAGAGCTCTCAGTAGTTAGACCGTAAACTCAAGAGTCGCCGATCAAACCTACCTTACGACTACGACAAACAAATCCAAACATTTTAAACGTGTATATTACATAATTACCACGACGGAGAATTGATCTGTGACGTTTGATCTAACGCATCTAGCAACGTCGATGCCGCATTTAAAACAACCAAGTCCAACGTTGCATTCTTCGTCGGACGAGCATTGGTCGCCGAGCTGAATTGATGACAAGCCCTAAATTGTAACATATATGATAATTTTCTTGAATATTCCAAAAAATGTGATTGTGGCAGCGTTTTCAGCAAAGATTGATCAGAATTTCGGTAGATATAACCATATTATTTTATGAAACTGAAAAAAGTATATAACCTGAATTGAGCCATAGGAAGAAGCAAAAGAGATCGCTGCGAGATGAAATATAAGAAATATTTTTACTGCAAAGAAGAATCTGAAACGGGCCATTGTTACTGACTTGTTGCTTTGACAAAGAGATAGATGGGATTTCCAAAAACAATATGTTGATATGACTTTGAAAAGTAACCGACTAAATTTAATTATCACAAATTCACACCTTTGAGTCTTGAATATAGACTGATTCTGGTATTTGTATTTGTTCATGAACTGTTAATTTTCTTTCTTTCTAAGATTATCTTTCCTTAGTATTTGACAAAGTCTTCTTCTTTGGACACCTCTTTAATTTAACTGTAATTAATATTTCTATATTGACAATTAAAAAAAATTAACAAGTCACATATAAAAATTTGTATTACAAGGAAATAAATCAAAGTATTTGACTAGTTTATCTTTTTTCAAACTCAATAGCATATAATGCAAAATTGCAAATATTGGTTAAAAATCTGAAGATACCTTGGCAAAGAAAAATAAGAGGTGTTATATGATTTTATGTTTGAGGAGAATAACTCATTTACCTAAACATCCGCGACAACTCTTCATCAAGTGGAAATCACTAGCTTACTACAATTTGGCTCATATATAAATTGTTGTGGATGAATTTTCGAAACCCGTTGAAAGGTTCGTAGAACGTTGGATTTGCTGGATTTCGGATAAAACTTTTAAGGAGAACGCTTTGGCCTACCATGGTCGATACCGGGAGTCTCTGTGAAGAGTCCTTTCTAGGTCATGATGGTCGTAACAATTAATTATTTTAAATGGTGATGTGTGAAACAACATGTAACTGAAATATTGAATTATAGGTTTTGGATCAGTAATGTTATACCGCCATGTTATATAACGTTAACGTGCACCACCTCATGTGAAAACGGTACGGAAAGGTGATACCACCACCATATCAAACCTTTACTTTGTAAAATTTTCTCTCATAACTTCTCTACAATTAAAGATGCTTAAAAATGTATACTTTCTTGATGGAAATATGTTTGATGTTGACTCACCGTTTAGTTACTGTTGTGTTAATTTACTTTAACATGTTTCATACATTATGTATATGAAATTCAGAAAAATATAAAGAATACTTCATTCCATTCATTTTTATTCAAACCAGGATAGGGTAAGAGTGCCAATGTCATTTTTGTTTTTTCGTCTACAATCCACACACTATTTGATTCATACATATGAGTTTACATTAGAAGATTATTTTTGGGACCGTTCTTAATTATGGGTTTGATTTGGCAAACAAGTCCAATTCAAAAAGATCAGATTCAGAATTTGAATCACTCTCACATCCACCATTTACATCATCGTCTTTTGCATTCCGATCTTTGCACTCGACCTTCTGGTCCGGACAGAGACTCTCACAAAGCCTCATGTTTAACTTCTGATCACTCTTCTTCGAATCTTTCACGTGTCTCTCATCGAAGCTTCTCCTACGCGCGTTTAAACTCCACGCTCCGGCACCGGAGATCGGTGAAAGCATCTGCGGCGTGTGTGGTCACCACGCAGCTCTTCCTCCTCCTCCTTTCTCCTCGTGGACTCTCCGCTCCGGAGTTGACTTTGACTTTGGGCTTTGGTTTCTTTAAACCCGCGGAACGAAGCAGAGAGTTCAAGAAACTGGTTAGCTTCCCACCACCGTCACGTGTCATCTCCTTGACGATGGCTCTGGGTTCCGGGAGCTGATTTTCTGTTTCAGGGTGCACTCTGTTCTGTCGAATTTCTGTAATAGTGCTCTGTTTCTGAGTCTGGATTCTTGAGTACTCGATCGTAGTTGGTTCGTTGAAGTCGGAGAAGTATCGAGTGGCTTCGAAAACGTCGAGTTCGCCGGAGACATTCCTCTTGCAGTTTGGTTTATGGATTTCCTCTTCCATGGTTGAAGAATCTCTGAAAATGTTTCTTTAGTTCCAAGATTGGAGATTGGTTTTTGCTGGTTTCGATTATTTAGGATTGTGGTTTGAGAAGAAGGATGATGCGCCAGCTTTATAGAATGCAAGGAATCTGTTAACTGAATTCTTTTAAATTTATCAATAAATATTTATATATATATAGATTATATATTATCTATAAATAGTTTATTTTCTCATACTTGAATTAATACAAAAATTAACAAATCTTAAAAGGGGGATCGAGTTCAACTTTAGTTATTATAATTGCATAAAATTCAATAGTGCGGTAATTTTGAACAGCTGCTTTTTGTATGTGTAGATGATTCTAAAGTACTATATTCAACTTCTTATCATCATGATCAACATGATTATTTTCACATGATAGTCTAATAGACTATTAACCTTTATTCTTATAAAAATAATTAAAAGCTTTAAATCTAAACAAAATAAATAAATACATGAAATTTATTTTCACTATTTTAAAATACAGAAATTCGTTTCCATAATATGGAAAACAAATTAAATAAAGGAAAACTGTTGTGAAACTTAAAAAAAAAATCTAAACAAGAAAATATTTCTAACAGTAAACTTATACTTGTTCACGTTAAATACAAACCTTACGAATAGGTGTAAGTAACAGGTTCGAATGAATCAATTAATTAATTGCATATTATAATGTTGTAAGTCTTATCAAATTATATTTTCCTATGTGTTCAGAGAGATGCCACGTTATTATCCATGAATATTCACACCTTTTGGGGCTGTCATGCAAGTTCTCAAAGCCTTTTATGGTCACAAAGGCAAAAGTTGATAAAGATAAGATGACCCATTGATCAATGTGGTGGGAGAATTAAAAAAATGTTAAGATATATATACGTATATATATTGATGAAGTATATATAGATATCTATTGCTACTCAATTCTTTTAAATTAGTAAAAAACTAAAAATGAATTACTCGAAATTAAAAAAATCAATAAATTTGAAACTAAATCATGATAAAATTATTCATATGTTATATTCATAGATTTATTATCCAATGAACTTAAAAACTTACGATTGATTGTCTCCGACTCTCAGTGGATTCACTGTTTCAACAATTATACAACAACAACAACAAACATAAAATGACCATAATTGATTGATCCAATGGTGTCCAAGTTCAAAGAAAAGCAGTTAAGTATTTATGGTGTAAATGAACAAGTGGTGTTGGATCACTTACTTTTTCGTCATTTTTTCTACTCTGACATCTCTCTGGTGTTTGCCAAAGAAGGAACAACATGGAACTTGTATGTTTGTGGATTCTTATCCACAAATGGAATCTAAGTAATTAGAGAAACAAAATCACACACAAAAGATTGCAAATGGTACTTAAGTACTACAGGTGTTTTTAATCAATTACTTTATAACTCCTTTAAAGATGATATTATCTTACAAATTGACCATTCAATTGTACATGATGAATGATTTAACTCAAAACATTCTGAAACTTGGAATCTATAAAAGTTACCTGGAGAAAAGATATGTTGATTACCATTTAAGGAACCAAATCTTAGCCTGAACAGAATGGCAAAGATCGTTTTGATGGGCTCTAGATAGTCGTGAGAGGCTGAGCTCCGTGTGATGGACTATGGGGAAAGTTATATGTCGACAAATATAGATGAGCCCAATCGTTGTCGTCTAAAAATCGAATGGTCTTGAGTATATATGCACATTTCACCATTTTATTATTTTAGCTATATTATAATATTCCAATAGAATGGTAGTTTTTTTTTTGGGTAAATATATTATAGCATAATGAGCATTTTTACAGAGAAGCAGTCAAGAATTTTCAAAATAGAGGAGTCATGGCTGCAATAAAGACAGAAAAAGTGTGTATGAGCTTAATATTTACGTGTTCCTTATATTTACTTTTAACCGAGAATGATAGAGCTTCATGTTAACAGCATATTAAGCATCTAAACTCCTCTCCGATTAGGAGGAAGACAAGACAGAAATTCATACGTTCAAATGTTTTGTATTAGAATTATCTGCAAATTCTAATATATGCTTTCGTCAGCCATGTTGAAGTAGACGACAAGACATCACAGATTATTAACTTCTTATGGACTCCAAGACTATAAAGTATTACATAACACTGTCGCAATTTATTCAACAAATTAAAGAGAAATCAGCTCTTAACTACCAATGTCGATTGAAAACTCTGCGTTTGACTTCCCACGTAAAAATAAGATTCGTCCTTAAATATGAACCTGTTTTACATCCTTCGTTTTATCGTTAATGACAAATTATTGAAATTTTTTGAAAAAAGATTTAATAAAACTCATGTGGGAGATTAAGACTTTTATTTTATTGTATTGCAGTTGAAATGAAGACTTTATATACATATATGTAATAAATGAAACCCTTCTGCTTATATCTATCACGTCTTGGCTTTGATGCTTAATTAAACACGACTTTTTGGTAACAATCAAGAAACCGCAAAATGAATGTGGATCTGAAGGAAAAAGGCGACAACATAACCGAAGAAACCATGAGTTTGATCTCTTCGCTTCCTTCACACGCAGATGCTCAAGGGAAGAAACTCTGCAAGTATCAAGGAACTTGGTATTACTTCAACATTCTCCAAGGCGTTGTTAATTTCCAGAGAAACTTTCAGCCTCAAGACACCGATATAATTCTTGCTTCCTTCCCCAAATCAGGCACGACTTGGCTCAAGGCCCTCACCGTCGCTCTCTTCGAGAGATCAAAGCACCGTTCTTCTTCTGATGATCATCATCCTCTGCTATCTAATAATCCTCATGGCATAGTACCATTCTTCGAGATCGACATGTACCTCGAAAGCTCAACACCGGACTTAACCAAGTTCTCATCATCATCATCATCTCCGAGGGTGTTCTCGACTCACATGCCACTGCACACCATGAAAGAAGCCCTCAAGGACTCTCCTTGCAAGATAGTGTACGTTTGCAGGAACGTCAAGGATACGTTGGTCTCGCTCTGGTGTTTCGCTTGCGCTCATGAAAAAACAGAACTAAGCAGAAGCCGTTTGGAGTCGATGTTTAAATCTTTCTGCAACGGAACTATCTTTTATGGGCCCTTTTGGGAGCATGTCCTGAGCTACTGGAGAGCCAGCATGGAAAACCCTAGCCATGTCCTTTTCATGAGGTACGAAGAGATGAGATCGGAGCCTCGTGGTCAGGTTAAGAGACTTGCGGAATTTTTGGGCTGTGCTTTTACCAAGGAAGAAGAAGAGAGTGGAATGGTGGACAAGATCTTGGATCTTTGCTCTCTGCGTAATCTGAGCGGTTTGGAGGTTAACAAGAGCGGAAGAATAAATACCGTGGATCACAAGATTTTCTTCCGTAAAGGGGAAGTCGGCGACTCGAAGAATTATCTTACTCCTGATATGGAGAATGAGATCGACATGATCATCCAAGAGAAACTTCAAGGTTCTGGTTTGAAATATTAGAGATTTCGTCTTTCGTTTGATGCAGAACATGATGAGAAAGGTAACTTCCTTTACGTTACTTAATAAATTGTAACTTTGCTGCTGTGTTTTAAATTAATATTTGCCGATTGAAGATTGGTGTCAGACCCTAGTTGGTGTATTCAGAAATTAATGCAAAACCAAGTCCACAAAAAAAAAAAAAAATTCAAAACCTTGAAACTTTATAAAATAAAATATTATTTATGTAAAGATTATTTAACAAAAGTCGCACATCAAACTAGGAGGTGGTTGTTCAGCGGCGGTATGGTTAGGTAATACAAGCCAAAGCGCACAATTAAATACAACTATCATTTGCAACCCCAAGATATTTCTCTCTACTATACGACTTAATTGACATGATTAGTTGTTACAATAATCCAAAACAATAGCTTATATATAGTATTGTTACCACTTTGAAACTAAATATGTATCAGATTCATCCAACAAGAAACTTATTCTCTGGACCAAATACGTTGTTGGGTGTAGTTCAAACTGAATTTTATGGCAAAACAAACCCATTAGTGTAAAAAATTTATATATATACACTAAACGATACAATTTATTTCAATACCTCTTGTAACTAAAATGTAAAGAAAAATGGCCAAAAATGAATCCGAGATTGAGACTTTTAAATTATAATTTTCCAGGGAACCATGTAAAAGAAGAAAAGAAGAAAAGAAGAAGCTTCAGTTAGTTGATCAACAGATTATGCACTGAACTTCTCCAAAAAGCCTCTCTAGCACAAAACTGTTATTCTAAAGTTAATATCGAAATAACAAAAAACAAAAAAGTGTATTAGAAACAGAGAACGGATTGAAAACCCTAATAAGTTGAAGCAGAAGAGAATATTTTTGGATCGTTCAAGAAACCAACCTGAATAAGCCAGATGCTTTTACTGTTTCTCCAAGAGAAAAAAAAAATCGTTGAAATGTCAATTAAATTCAGTAACCACGATCTTGGCATTTTATTTGAGCACATTATGAGCACATAGTGAGTAACTACGAGGGGCTTACTTATAACTTTATCAAGGATATATCATATATGTGTCGATGAGGGTGTGTCGTCTATGATGCAGGAGAAGTTCTTATTCAACTTCAAGGATTCAGCCAAAGCAAATTTGAATGCTTTGGAATCCAAATCCTCAAAAGACAGATAGTTTGATGAATTTTTTGGCATTCAAGATTCTTGCAAACTCTATCAGGAGAATTTGAACGTGAGCAGACAAGATGTTAAGGATGATTCTGATGTTTATCATGAAGCTACATCAGGAAATGTCTCTAAGGAAACTTTAACATTGGGTGATATTTTATCGATGGAGGATTCCCAAAAACCTTCCAACAAAAACAACAGCAATGGACCGGAAGAAAGCGTAGCACGTGAAACAGAACTAAAGAAAACAGAGGAATCAAAAGCAGACAGCTTAAGAGTTTTTGATGGCAATTTCCAAAACGGTTTCGGCGAAAGAAGTTTCTCTGAAGCAGAGTCAGGTTTAGCTCACATAACTTACTCTGGAGCCATCTCAGTCTCGGGAAGCCTCTCTGTTCGATTGATGGAAGCACAGTCAGCGCACACTCCTTCGCTTTCCCAATGTATACATACATACATAGACTTACGTTATTCATACATATATATTTACTTATTAACTGAAAATTCTATAAACCTTTTTGTGAAAATCTCTGTTTCAGATTGCAATCAGAATGGAACAGCAGTCCTGTAAGAATGATGAAAGCTGAGAAAAGAGAATTTCGGAAGGAGAAAGGATGGAGACACTACTCTCTTCTTCTCTGTTGTAGATTCTGATGGATTCTAGCCTTTCTTAGAGTCAAATGATTTCTACTTTCAGGTTCTATTCAATTCACAGATCGAGAGTGCTCTTTTTTTTTTTTATTAGTATTGTAGTAAATATTCTTCTGTAGGCTTCAATTACTTACTTCATCGTGGGTTTTGAGTTTTGGGTGTTTTTAATTCCCAGTTTCATGTGTTGCTTCAGTCACAAGGTATAAACCCTATAATACACGCTAGCTAATCAACTTTTGATTCCTTTATTTTATCTTTTCTGTCTCGAGTTAAGATATCGATTATGTGGGCTTTTTTAAGTTTCAAGGCCCATATGGTTGCAACTTGTTAAGGAAACTAAACTACAAATTTGTCGCATTCGCCAGTAAGTCGGTCTAAATTGCCACGTCATAACCTGATCCCCTTTTTATCATAGCGTGTACTTCTCAGCAGTTACCACGTATCATGTACCAATCGAACGGTTTATATCTCCTGTGAACCTCTAAATCGGACGGCTCTCTTCGCCTGCTCTATGCAAAAAAAAAAGAATTAAAATATGAAGCTGACGTGTCACTGGTGAAAATGATTTAGCAAGGCCCATACTTTGCTATAGTTAAAAAAGCGTCCTTGAGATTGAGAGAGAGAGAAGTTGAGACGGAGGAGGCAAGCAAGAGATAGAGAGACACACAGAGAGGAGGCTAATGGATCAGTGACTCACTGAGTCGGATTTTAGCGATTCATTGCCTCCATTAAAGCCTCTCTCTGAGATTTGCACGATGCAATGTCTTTCTCTCTCCTCCATGTGCGTTTCTTCGGCCACGAATGCTTATGGATTGACTGAAAATCGTCTGGCGTTCCTTCAGATTTTGGTTTCGGGTGCGTTTTCTTCTTCAGACTGTTGATTCTCTTTGCGAAATCTCGTCGTTGTGTACTTGTGTTGAATAGCTGAAAAAATGTTTAACTTACAGTCCTCTGTTTCTACAATTTGTTTAAGCAGTAAATTTCGTTGTTGACACAAAAAAAGGCAGTAACTTTCGTTTCTTTATTTGTCTATAAGAATGGAGTGACCTCGGAAATTTTTGGAATAAATTGCTGTAACCATTCTTGAAGCGATTATGTGAAGTATCTTGAATCAAGATGTATGTGGTGGATAAATGTTGCGGAGTTGTAAAAACCGAGAAAAAGAAGGTTGCTTTAGATGAGAAGTGTATAAGATAATCAAATCTTATAAATTTCTGATCCTATACGTGTTTTCTTTATGCAGATTTTCTATCTTTTTCTCTCCGGTATCAGCTATAAACCATGGCTTACCTGATGTAGTGTCAGGATATAATCTCCTTCTGCCTTGTTGAGCTCGTGTTGGTTTCAGGCTTTCAGCTAAAAAGAAGCGTTGGTCTGAAAGATGGCAATGGCAGTCTTTAAGTCTCCGCTTAAAGGCGAGTTCCATGGGGCTAGAAAGATGGAAGGGAAGCAGTATAAGCATCATCTGCTTCAGCAGCAGTCTTCAGGAAGAAGACGTGTTTTCGTGCAAACCGAAACTGGCTGTGTTTTGGGAGTGGAGTTGGACCGTAACGACAATGTTCATACTGTGAAAAAAAGGCTTCAGATTGCCTTTAACTTCCCCACCGAAGAAAGCTCCTTGACCTTTGGGGATTTGGTGCTGAACAACGATGACCTGAGTGCTGTGAGGAATGATTCTCCGCTTCTCCTAAAGCGTAACTTAATGCACAGAAGCTCGTCTACTCCGTGTCTTTCACCTACTGGGAATGATCTGCAGAGAAAAGATCTAAGTGGTCCTATTGAGATACTTAGCCACTCACATTGTTTTTCGTCTTTGAAGCAAACGGCGAATGACATTGTTAAGGCGATGAAGGTAGGTGTTGAACCAATCCTTGTCAATGGTGGGCTTGGAGGGGCATACTATTTTAGGAATGAAAACGGTCAAAGCGTTGCAATTGTCAAGCCTACAGATGAAGAACCGTTTGCTCCTAACAATCCTAAAGGCTTCATAGGGAAAGCGCTTGGTGAGCCTGGTTTAAAGCCTTCTGTGCGGGTCGGGGAAACCGGTTTTAGAGAAGTTGCGGCTTACCTTCTTGACTATGATCACTTTGCTAATGTTCCTCCTACAGCTCTTGTGAAGATAACACACTCGATTTTCAATGTCAACGATGGAGTAAACGGGATTAAATCTCGTGAGAAGAAGAAGCTGGTCAGCAGCAAGATTGCTTCGTTCCAGAAGTTTGTACCTCATGATTTTGATGCCAGTGATCACGGGACTTCGAGCTTCCCTGTTTCTTCTGTGCACCGCATTGGGATATTGGACATAAGGATTCTCAACACAGACCGGCATGGTGGAAACCTTTTGGTGAAGAAGCTTGATGATGGTGGTGTTGGGAAGTTTGGTCAAGTGGAGCTTATTCCGATAGATCACGGTCTTTGCTTGCCAGAAACACTCGAAGATCCTTACTTCGAATGGATACATTGGCCTCAGGCTTCGATACCTTTCTCTGAGGAAGAGCTTGATTACATACAACGTCTTGATCCAGTGAAAGACTGTGAGATGCTGCGAAGAGAGCTCCCAATGTTTCGAGAGGCTTGTCTCAGAGTCCTAGTTCTGTGTACTGTTTTCCTTAAAGAAGCGGCTGCTTATGGACTCTGTCTTGCAGAGATTGGTGAGATGATGACTCGGGAATTCCGTGCAGGAGAAGAAGAGCCAAGCGAACTAGAAACGGTGTGTATTGAAGCTAAGAGATTAATGGCTGAGCAAGATGTTTTATCTCCCAAGTCAGATGTAGAAGGAGAGACAGAGTTTCAGTTTGATGTAGACTATAGTGACCTCGAATCAGTTTATAGCTTTGAGACGCTGACCGATGAGTCGTTTGCCAGAAACCCATTTTCAAATGGACTTTCTTCACTTGGAAACCTCGAAGAGAGCATCGCAGAAGAAGAAGAAGAAAAAGAAATCTATGAAGGTGCAAGACTTACTCTATCTCTCTCAAAGCCTTCAACATCAACGAAGAGCAACAACATGGGATCTGACTACTCGAAACCTTCAAGAGACAAAACCGAGAAAACATTGTCAAGACACAAGAGCGCGAACGTGCAGCTTCCGGTTAGTGCAAGGTTTGTAAAGTTAGCAGACATGAACGAAGTCGAGTGGGTTGTGTTCCTGGAGAGGTTTCAGGAGTTGCTTGACTCGGCTTTTGCAGAACGTAAGACCATGACGTTGAGCATTAGACAGAGACTTGGTACCTCGTGCCAGTTTTGAAAACAAGTTGTCCACGTAATACAAGACAAGCGTTCTTTTGTTTTGTTCATGTTTTAAAACTAGTGTTAACCTTTTTTTTTGTAGTTCCGCAATTTTTCTCTGTGAGTTTTTAATTTTAAGTGTGTTTACTATGTTGCGAAATAATAATTTTGTTTATAAACTTTTACGGCAATAATCTTATTATAAAATAATATGTTGATGCTTTTTGCTTTTGTGATTTTTATGGCAACTTGTTCATCGTTTGGTACGAAATACATGATGTGTTTTGTGATAAAATTATCATTTAATGGACACAATTCCTCAGTGCCACATCACTGACCATTCCTTTTCTTCTTGTCAATGTCGTAAATGAGCCTTTAAAAATCTTGATATTATTGCAACATGTTGAACTGTTAGAAAACTCAGAACTGATGGAAGCAATAACTTCATAAGAAATATTAAACTGATTCCAAACAAAGCTTGATCTCAAATCAATCCTTGCATTTTTCTAAGCTAAAAACAAAAACCAATATACTTAAACTGAAAGGAAGTAACAAGAAGTTCGATTTCAAATATATTTTAACAGCGGAAAAACTCAAAACTTCTCGAATATACAAACTGAACCGGAAACTGGATTAGAGGTATTCTCTCCGGATATCATATATGCCTCCATGGCCTCTCAGCGAGGCTCACACAATCACCATGTCTAAAACAGTCAACGAGATGATCATTTGTCAACCCTGCAGCCTGCATGAACGAATGTACGATCACGGGACCGACAAAACGAAAGCCTCGTTTGATCATATCTTTGCTAATTATCTCAGCCTTGGGAGATCTCAGTGGTACATTTCTCGAATACTTGAATTTGTTAATGATCGGTTTGTAGTCCATAAACCCCCAAATGAAGCTGCTGAATGATCCAAATTCCTTGACCACCTGCCAATATATAGTTTTCTTTGGATCTAATAGACAATATAGGTGTAATAGAAGAATATACAAGATTTTATAAGGTTTTGTTTAAAATTTGGAAAATGGTCGAAACTTGCCTTCATTGTGCATTTGGCATTTTCAACTATACACCTGACTCTACTCTCTTGTAACATTATTGCTTTGTTTGATGCAATCTCTGTGATCTCTTTCTCTCCCATTTTGGCCACCAGATTTGGGTCAAACTCACAAAACGCCTCTCTAGTTTCACAGATTGTCGTTAACATCCACAATTTATGATGTACATACAGTATTTATAATGTAGAAATTATGAATATTGGTGATAAATTTTACCTAAAGAGTTCTTTGCGTTTTAGAATTTCGGTCCAGTTATAGTCCATCAACATCCCCGACATGGCAAGGAACTCAAAAAGCAGGCTGTTTTAATAATAAATCACCATGCAAAATTAATTGTCTTTTTACAAAATGAAGTTAACTATAAGCATAGTATTAACAAAAGGGTTAACATTTATTTGTATATATACGAAATAAATTCATAAACTTGTGGAAGTTATAATCATACTTATCATCATAGACAGGGACTCCCCATTGCTGATCATGAAACGTTACGTAGACTTCATCTACAAAAACAAAAACAAAAAACAAAAGAAACCCTCATAATTAAAGTTGCTGAACAAAATTTAGTTTAGTCTATATTTAAATTATAATGATCATAGAGGAATTTCATACTAATGATTCTCTAATTAATTAGCTTGTATAGATACTTAATACCTACATTATTAGTTTAGGTGATCTCCTATAATAATCTTACCACTTTTCTTGGTGATCCAATTACACCTCTTTGGTTCATCACTATTGAAATCCTGATATAGCTGTTGTTCTTGTTGTTGCGGGATACTTTTTGGAACAAATGTTTCTCTTCTACGAGGAGATGAGATTAAACCGAGTGCTAGAGAGATCCTTTGTTCTAACGGGGAAGTTGAATCCGTGGCAAAAGAATCGGTCGAGTTTTGAGAGAGTGATAGAGATATAGAAGAGAGTGAAAAAGAAGAAGAATTACTACGTTGAAGCGCGATGGGGTAGATTCTCTTTAAGTGTTTCGCAAAGAAATTTGAGTTTTGCTTAGTCTCCTTCTCCCTTACACTCGTGCTCTTCTCTAAAATTACCCTTCTTTTAGGGCTTGCTTTGTACATCTTTGATTCTAGAGTAATTGAAGACTGAGAATAGTCACAAGTACTTATAGGAGAGCAATGCACAATAAAACGAGGTTTAAAAATAAAAAGAAAAACTTAATGTCGTTAACAAGAGTTAGACAGAAGTAATTACACCTAAGTTGGTGAAATGTGGATTTCATGTTTGTGAAATTTTACCATATTTGAATATTTTCTTCATTGGTATATAGATATGAAAAAACTGCAAATTTCATAATTGGTTTCTAAGTTGAAAAAGACATACCACGATTTTGCATTTGTTTTAAGTTGTTTTAGTTCTAATGCGTGTATCAAGAATGGGTGACAGGTAACCAAATTGGTGAAGTGATCCATCGTATTACCTTTTTTAAATCCATTCACTTTTTATATTTAATTGGTTGGACTTCACTTTCTGTACTTGAATTGAAATACTAATAGAATAGATATATGTAATGTATTATCAAATTTGAGTACTGTTGCATGAATGAATATTCAACATAAGTTTTGTAGTTGTTTTTAATCTCGGAACCGTTAGATTATAAACCACACTAGTCTAGTTCGCACACTGATTATAGTGGTTAATTAAATAATGGTAAAACAACAGATTATTCTTAGCTTCTACTCTTTGCCTGCTGCATGTTGATTTTTAAGAGAAATCAACGTTTCGCCTATTTCAGACAAAGAACTCTCATCTTTTTCTACGTATGTATAATTTGTCTAAATTAGTTAACTGAAAGTTATGCATGTAAACAAAGAGTAATTCGATGTGTATATATATATATATCTGTGTATTTGACTACAAGAAAAAGAAGAAAAAAAATTCAGTGTTATTATTATATACAAGTAAGTGATAATTAATTCGACCAGCATGTGTTGATGTTTTTGAACCGGAACCGATAATTGATTCGGTTAGTTAAAAACCGGCATTAGGTTTAAATCATAAACCCAATAACAAAGAAGTCATAAACCCTCTTTCTCTCCGTCTTCCCTTCAAACTTGCCGGGAAAACCAAATTATCTCTCCGACAGGCTCAATTCTCAACCCATCTTTCAAATTTTCTTAATTTTCTCTGGAGACGAAAAGGGAATCTCCCGGAGTTCCCCAGTTTAGAAACCCTAATTCCCAAATTCCATGATCTGTAGATGGATTGCATCCAATTCGAGAAAAGTGTCCCGTGTTCTCTCTCCTTTCCCTTCCCTCTTACTCACTAAATCCTCCTTTTCCGTCGCGAAACTCGACGATGAGCCACTTTCCACTACCAATTCCACGTCCGATCACGGAGATTGCTTCTATCAGGAGATTCTATTTGGGATGAAGAAGAAAGGGTTCCGGGAGTATCTCCACGGGCATCACTTTCGAGGCTTGGTTTCGGATTTGAGGCAGTTTCATGTCGAAGAGATCATGGGTGAATTGATGTCTGAAAGCCCAGATCTTTCGGTTTGGTTTTTCAAAGAGCTGAAAGATGTTTATGGGTTTCGCCATTCGAGTTTGTCCACATTGTTGGTTGCACATATTTTAGCTGGTCAAAGACGTTTCAAAGAGCTTCAAGTGATTTTGGAACAACTGCTCCAAGAAGAAGGCAAGTCCACTTTTTTTGTCTTGTTTTCAATTTCGGTGGGAAGTATATTGAGACAATCGTTATCTGATTCATTGTTAGTGAAAGCTTAGAGCTTTGGCTGAAGTAGGTGCGGATTAATAGGGAAAAAAAAGGAGCTTTATAGTTTTGTTTTATCTAGAAAATTTCTCTCTTTCGTTGGAATATTGTTTCAGTCCGTTTCCTGAAGTTGATATTGCATTGTTTTAGGCTCTGGTTCAGCATCTTTGATTTGCGAGCTTCTCACTAAAAGCTTCAGAAAGTGGGATTCTACGAACTTAGTTTGGGATATGTTGTTGTTTCTTTCATCAAGGTCTAAAATGATTGATGATTCTCACTATATCCTGGAAAAGATGAAGGATCTGAACTTGAGTGTGTCGACACAAGCATACAACACTATTTTGTATAACTTCAGAGAAACAGATAAGATGTGGGATGTGTACAATAAAATCGATGCTAAGAACGAGCACACGTACTCAACAGTTGTAGATGGGTTGTGTAGGCAACAAAAGCTAGAAGATGCAGCTTTTTTCCTCCGAACTTCAGAGTGGAAGGATTGTGGCCCCTCTGTAGTTTCTTTCAATAGTATCATGTCAACTTACTGTAAATTAGGTTTTGTAGGTGTGGCCAAGTCATTTTTCTGTACATTATTGAAATGTGGATTGGTTCCTAGTGTATATAGTCACAATATACTCATAAACGGACTCTGTCTTGCTGGTTCTATCGGAGAAGCTTTAGAATTTGCTGATGGTATGAATCAGCATGGAGTGGAACCTGATACTGTGACATACAATATTCTTGCGAAAGGGTTTCATCTTCTTGGTATGATCACTTGGGTTTCGGAGGTTATTGAACAAATGCTGGGTAAAGGTTTGAGTCCTGATGCTATCACATACACGATATTACTATGTGCGCATTGTCAGTTAGGAAACATCGAAAAGGGTTTAAGATTGCTGAAAGAAATGTTGTCGAGGGGATTTGAGTTGAACAGTATCATCCCCTGCAGTGTAATGCTCAGCGGTTTATGCAAAACAGGACGAATCAATGAAGCTTTGTCGTTATTTTATGAAATGAAAGCCAATGGTCTCAGACCTGATCTTGTGGCATATTCTATTGTGATTCATGGCCTCTGCAGATTAGGAGAGTTTGATATGGCTGTTTGGCTTTTCGACGAGATGCGTTCCAAAAGAATCCTTCCAAATTCTAGGACACTTGGTGCTATGTTGCTTGGTTTATGTCAGAAAGGGATGCTACTCGAGGCAAGAGCGCTTCTGGATTCTCTGATTTCAACTGACTGCACTCTGGATATTATTCTGTACAACATCGTAATTGACGGGTATGCAAAGTATGGTTGCATTGAAGAGGCGTTAGAGCTATTCAGGGTAGTGATTGAGAGTGGGATAACTCCTAATGTTTCGACTTTCAATTCTTTGATTTACGGGTATTGCAAGACCCGGAAGATAGCTCAGGCTAGAAAAATATTGGATGACATCAAGTTATATGGATTGGTTCCAAGCGTTGTGAGTTATACAACTCTGATGAATGCATATGCAGACTGTGGAAATACCGAAAGCGTAGATGAATTGCGCTTGGAAATGAAAGCAAAAGGAATCACACCAACCAATTTCACATACTCGGTGATTATGAAAGGACTTTGCATAGGCCGGAAGCTCAAAAAATACAAGCAGGTACGCAGGGACATGGCTTCTGAAGGTATAACTCCAGATCAGATCACTTACAACACAATGATTCAGTCTCTATGCAGGGTTAAAGATTTGTCCGGAGCATTTGAGTTGTTTGAAGAAATGATATCTCAAAATCTTGATCCTACGCCTGCCACTTATAATATTCTAATCGACGGCCTTTGTTTCTACGGTTACATAAAGAAAGCTGACAGGTTTCTTTATTGGCTTCAGGAGCGAGATGTTAGTTTATCAAAATTTGCTTATACCACACTGATCAAGGCACATTGTGTAAAGGGTGTTCCTGAAATGGCAGTGATGCTCTTTCTTCAGCTGCTAGACAGAGGATTCGATGTTTCTATCAGGGATTACAGTGCGGTGATCAATCGTCTGTGTAGGAGACAACTAGAAAACAAGGCTAAATTCTTCTTCCGTCTAATGTTATCTCAGGGTATTTCGCCTGACTTAGACATCTGCAGAGTGATGATCAAGTCAGCAGATGCACTCGCCTGGACAATCAAATCGGGATTGTTGCTTGATCAGTAAGTCAGCAAAAGTTTAGTCTCTTGTCCCATCTTATCTGCTATATAGCTGGAGAAGGCACACTTCCACTAGAGAAACTGTCGCGTGATGTAACTTTTGATGTATAAAGGAGTTATATACAATGTAATGTATAGAGAAAAAACTACATCAAAACTTGGTAACAAGTCACAAACATATTCTATAGATTTTCATTCGATCATTTACTATAAGTGCGTTTTATATATATATCGTGGTTATTAGTGGAATTCGACAACATCGACCAATGACGATATGAAATCGTATTTGCGATAACATATAACGATATTACAAACACAATGCTCACAGATACCCATTTATATATGTATTTTATTAAAATATCTTCTATATTGGATTTCATTTAATATTTAATTAGGACCATACTGTTGTGTCTTTATATAGATAAGATTAGTCTGGTCAGTTGTTCTTGGGAGGATGGTGCCTTGGTTTCCAGTAATCAGCAGTGTAGGCAACGAAATCATCCTCATCTTCAACACTTGTCTCTTTATTTGTTGGCTTCTTCGAATTCGTCTTCATCTTATTCCTTTCCTTACTAAACTCTTCTTTACTTCTTCCTCGAACTTGCACCTTCTTCGTTGCAACATCATCATCAACATGCTTCATCACCTGCTTTACATCATTACATGCTTCATCATCATTCTTTGATTTTATACTACGCACTACTCGAGTCATAATTCATGAGTTGAGAAAAAAATTAGTTCGGAATTAAAACTAGCTAATCTATATGAGAAATGTAAACGTTATGTAAATATCGCAGTTTTACAAGTCATGTTTGACCAACTAACAGATGAGAACTACAGGTTACCATTATATTGAATTTTCGTTCTTATGTATTATTATTCACTACTCAAGAAAACATAAAAAGTAAACATTTGGGACCTGTATTAGTGTATACCTTTGTATTTGAAATGACATCAACACTTGACTTTTCATTTCCTGATAAAATAAATACACATATATTAGCTGCGTTCTACTGAAAACAAAAATATAAATCATGCATGCATGCATCGTATTTCATGCAAAATGGAAAAGATAAGAACTAGTTCATAAAAAGTTTGATTGTCATTCTAATAAGTCATAATGCAAGTTTATTACGTATAGTTCATAATCGTGAGTTAATTATCTCGAACATTCATGACATTAAAATTTTGAATAGATAATAGTAGAGAAAATGGAAGTAAAAGAGAGAAACCGTGAAGGGAATATCCACAGGAGAGGCAAAACAAAAGAAGGACCAACATACACAGAAAGCTTGAAGTGATGGCCATCTCTTTTTTCTTCTCCTAGCTACGACAATTTTCTCAGAAATGAGTTTTGGGATCAAATTATGCAAAGGTAATGAGGATTAGAAAAACTAGGGTTAATTAACTAGTTTTTATATAGGAGATCTAAGGAAGAAAACCCAAGAGAATGTCAAATATAATATAATTGCCATCTGTCTCTATTGGGAACCTGCCATCGACGTTGGGACATGCGTAAACTCCCAAAAAAAAAATTGTAGAAAATTGTAAATTACAATATGGTGATACGAGTTCATACTTTACAGCCATCACAATATAAGAGCATACAACTAGAATAAAAATAACTAAGAAAATAAGTGGATTAATTTTTGTTCGGGTCGGATTTGGGATGTTATGTACATGTTGCATTTGGTCTCAGCCGATTATTGGGATGGTCGAAGAGCATAGGATATAGCCATATAGGAGTTCCGTCCTCCGGGACCGGGAGAGATGATGCGATTCCATGAAGTTAATGTATCACACTAGATTGTGAATATTTTTATCATATAAATCCTCTAGTTCACGCACCTTCGAAGCACTGGCCAAGAATCATATTAGACATCAAAAATTTAGATGTATATAGTTGGCTTCCATTTTCTATAAAATACTCTAATACTAGTATTTTAATTTTTCGGGAATATTTCTTTTATGATCTCAATTCATTTCTCGCATAAGTACACAAAGTATTAAAGTGAATTTAATTTGAATAAAGCAAGAATTTACGTCGGGAATAGCCACAGAAACATTGAATAAGGAGATAAAACATAACGTAAGATGCAATTCACAGGTGTGCGTGTTTTGTGTTTGTCTCTTGCTATATTGCCACTTTTTCTCATATTCAAGATCAAGAACAATAAAAAAATTGCTTAACTATATTATACTCCTTAATTAGTCTTAATTAACTCATACATCCCCTAGTCTGTTAGTAAGCCAAACTAAACTGACATATTCTCAACTAGTATAATACTCCATATCTTATGTATAATATCAATTGGGATCATAACTTTCATTAAATGGCTATAATCCAGAGTTTGGTTCCATTATTAGCCAAAACATTAACAATTTTTTTAGATTGTATAAACAGTAAATGTTGATTGTAGTCTTTCATATTAGTCTGAGCTTTAGTATAATAGAACTAGAACTAACAAATGTTAGTAGCATTAATTATGTAATTGTTTCAGACTTGGCAGAATATTTTCGACAACATTTACATAATTTTTCCCCATCGATTAGGTTAATGCATATAAAAACCAAATCATTGTCATTCAGTTTTACTTATATACTGTATAAGTCAAAAGAAACCCGGAGTACCTTTTATATAAATATATCTATATGCCTTTCAAACTACCATTATAGTTTTTTTTTTTTTTTTTGTAAAAACTACCATTATAGTAGTTACATCTCTTGTAGATCATTTACAGCATTTATATAAGATCAATATATATTAGTCGAAATAAAAAAATCCAGAAATATTATTTAAACTGAAGAAATAAAAATAATTGCCAGATTGAAGGAGGTTGGTCCAGACATGAGCTATTAATTTAGTTAATGGAATGTGAAAAAGAACATAGGCATGGATGACGAATCAGTGGGTGTGGTATGTAACCTATGGACCTATGGTCTCTATTGTACTCTATTTTCTATAATTGGAAAATGTGTATCGTTGTTAGTATCAATATTTTGCATCCTATTTCTCCCACATGACGCCAAAATTTATGTACCCATTTGCGTTACCCGATCAGAATTTAGAACCTTTCTTTAACATTTACAAGTACGATTACTGTATCATCTGAATTAAATTCAATTAGTTATCGTTTGTAAGCTGTAAATGATCGTTAATTTTATCAATCAATATACCTTACTTTCAAATTTAATTTTGGTAACTGAATTATTTTTGTAAACTCTACAAAATGTGAAGGTCTCAATTCAATCATCGACCACTTAATTTTCTACTTTTAAGAAAAACTTAACGATAGTGCATGGGATTTTCATTATACCTATCAAGAATCAACTGTTCATGACTATTATCTTATTTAATTCTAGCTATTCGATTTTCTTAGCTAATAGGAAATTATTAGGTTCAAATTTATGTACATTATATGCTTAAGTAATAACAAATCTGAAAAAAAAAATGTATTCATCATCATTCGCAGAATATGCGAAAAAGGCTTCTTACCATACCAGTTCTCACCTCATCATTTGGTTCAGGCACTTTCAAACAAATCAAACTACTCAAACATAAATTACCAATTTGAAAAAAAAAATTATTAAAAAAATTAGATTGTTAACATCTTTATTTATATTTAAAAACATTTAAAGTTGATTGGGCCTATATTCAAAGCCCATTGGCGTGCTTCTATATCTTTTCGACGAGTTTTAAACCTTTTAACAATTCGAACAACCATTTAAACATAATAACTAAATACGTACTTTCGAAAAAAAAACTATATACGTACTTTTTTAATTTAAGAATTTAAACTATACGGCCAGATGGGTCATTATATATGCATGTAGACAAATATGTAATCTCATATTTTTTTCTAGAATTAAACTTGTGATCTCATGTTTTTATTTTTCAACAAAGGTTTTCAAAGTGATTCATGTTTTTTTTAACAAGGGTTTTCGCAAAGTGATTTCATGTTAAATTAAAGACATTTGATTTCAACTGATTGACAATCAAATAATGAATTAAAGGGGCTTATTATCATGTCGTTAAGCATGCAATAATGCAAATTTGAATTTATATTCGGTAACCCAAAAAGATGTAGCTCGTGTAATTCAAAAAGAAAGATTGATGTGAATTTTCCTTAAGTAATGATGAGATTAAGCTTTCTATTCTCCACTACACATCATTGTTTCCCTTTATTAGGTTTGAATCTATCCATTAATTAATCTATTAATTATATATTATCAGTATGTGGACGCGCGTCTGCCGTCTCCTCGTATATATTTTCAAAAACTTCATTACGATATTGAAGCAAACGCGATTATGAATTTTATACATCGTTATAACATTCACTTTAATCTTAAATTAAGTTTTGAATTCGGGTATTTTATTAACAATTGTAGGGTTCTCTAACTCTCTTGTACAGTATACTACTTCCACACAAGTTAGTTCATTACTTTCATTAGAAATGAGTATAAGCTCATAGAACCTAGAAATTAAGAGAAACATTTTGCGTAATCAATTAGGAAATGAATATATTACGTTAAGCCTTAATCTTAGCCATAATAAATTTAGATGGATACGATGTATAAAAAAAGAAAGAGCATTAAAAAGGAAAATCTTAGCATCATCCATTTCTAAACATATTGGAAATAAATAAATAATTAAAACATATCAACATATTATAATAGCACTCTCATCATTATTTTACAGGCCAATATATTCTTCTTACCACTTAACCTAAAAAGCGAAAAAAAAAATAAAGAGAAAAGAAAGATTCTTGAGTGAGGATGGGAACAGCAACGTCGACGATGGCAGCGAAGTTAGCATTCTTCCCACCAACTCCGCCTTCGTACACGGTGGTCACGGAGGAATCAACGGGGAAGATGAGGATATCGACGGAGATGATGCGTCATCGGAGAGATGAGGAAATCGAAGTGGTGAAGATAAAGACTAGAAAAGGAAATGAGATCGTGGCGATGTATATTAGGAATCCAACGGCTAAGCTCACCCTTTTGTATTCTCACGGCAACGCCGCCGATTTAGGTCACATGTTCCTCATCTTCAACGAACTAAGTCACCATCTCAATATCAATCTCATGGGGTTAGTCTATATATAATATAATATAAGTTTATAGATGCATACACAGAATCCATGAAATTCACTGGTTTGACTCTATAGGAACTTGATATCATGTTTTATTATGTTTTATGTTTTTTTTTTTAAGTAGTATGTTTTATGTTTACTTTGACCTTTTTTGGGTACAAAATTTGTCAGACCAAAAAAAAAACTCCCCCGTACTTTAATTATTGGTGAGAGAGACAATTTTTTATTCAATTAACAATAGTGATGGTAGTTCAATACTTCAATTAGTCATCAAAATATGAATCTGCTGTTGGGGATTTCTTAATTTATTCACCATAGGATTCTCAATTATAAAAACATTACATTCAATAAAAGTACGCATTTTTTATCTAAAGCAAAAATATTAGATCTTTGGTCAAATTTATTAGTTTCAATATATAAAATTTTAAGACGCAACTAATTTTAAAATATACTATAACAAAGTAAAAAATAACATTGCGTAAATATTATAAAAACATTTATACAGATCGGTGTATATATTAGCTCATTATAATATAGTATATGGTTTTCTGTGGATAATTGCAGATACGATTACTCAGGATATGGGCAATCTTCTGGTAAGGTAAGTCATATTTTCCAAATTTTCAATTCACCTTTGTTTGTTTTTTTTTTTTTATAAGATTAACGCGTCCATTTTATTTTGAGAAACATAGCTAAGTACAGTACGTCAAAGTTTGAGTAACATAGAACACAAGAGCCCAAAACAAGGTTGTTAGAAAAAAATCTCATTTACTATCAGCCAAACTAAAGTAATTTCTATGAATATGTCATGATACTCTAACTAAAAAGATAAATAATCTCTAGATTATTCTAATGTACAATTAAAAATATATGATCGGGTGTGTATGGGGGTTGATTTGGATCTTAATGTTGAAAGCCAAGTGAGCAAGAGACGTACGCAGACATAGAAGCAGCTTACAATTGGCTAAGAGAGACTTACGGTACAAAAGATGAACGTATCATTTTGTACGGACAGTCAGTGGGAAGTGGACCGTCTCTTGAGCTTGCTTCTCGTCTTCCACGTCTTCGAGCACTTGTTCTTCACAGTCCTTTCTTGTCTGGTCTACGTGTCATGTACCCTGCTGTCAAGCATTCCTTCTGGTTCGACATTTTCAAGGTTCGTTGCTGTTATATATATTTATCTGAAGATCTCGACCTAAATAAGTCATCTAGTATTTTTGTTTATATAACCATTGTTATATTATTCTTAAGAACCTCTAAAAATTTGATCAAATAGTATTGATTTTGGATTGGTCTATAATATTACGGGGTAATGACACATAGTGGTTTAAGTTTAAGTTTAATATTGCATTGAACATAATTAATATTCAACACAAATATACTTCTATTAAGGATAATGTTTTGGTAAACTGATAAGAATTTTGATATTGCAGAATGTTGATAAAATTCAACTCGTAGACTGTCCCGTTCTTGTGATTCATGTAAGTATATTTTCTTTCATTATTTTTGGATTCCTATTTTACATATATACCAAATTCTAATAACAAGATAATGTCATTTGCGTGTTATGTAGGGAACAGATGATAACGTGGTGGATATTTCACATGGAAAGCAACTATGGGAACTTTGCAAAGAAAAATACGAACCACTATGGCTTAAGGGGGGCAAGCATTGTAATCTTGAGATGTTCCCTCAGTACTTACCTCACTTAAGAAAATTCATAGCGGCGATTGAGAAGCTTCCAGTTCCAAAATTCCGATGCCCTTCATCGGCTGATGATCACAAGAAAGAGAAACAACAATTGGACTCGAAGAAGAGTAGTACTTGGATTGGATCTAGGCATAGCACCGAATGTGTTACAGAAAAATCAAGAAAGATTAGCTTCGGTCACCGGTTTGGGAAGGCAAGAAACAGCATGGATAGCTTCGATCGGGCTAGGAATAGCTTTGACAGGTTAGAACTTAAACCATTAATGTTGGACGATTTAATAATCTTTAGTTATATATATGATCTAACTTTATAAAAATTTGGTTGTAGGTTGGGTGAAATGGTGAAATCAGTTCGATTATGTAATGTTGATTGTGTGAAGAGTGCAGTTGCAAATTAAAGGTTTGAAGATTAAGCAGAACAAATAATGTTTTCTTTTATTGGTTCGTTGGTTATATTCTTTGGAAGGGAGAATATGTTTTGTAAAACATATATAATCCTAATTTTCACTTAATAATTAAAACAGAGGAACACAATCTCTGTGTTCTTCTCTTTTTTTTCCGTCTGATTTTTTTCATTAAATATTATCCAATAAAAACCAGTTAATTCTAAAGTATGCGTTTCGTAAAAATTTCGAGTATAGTAGTAGGCGTTAAGTTTGTCTCTGCCATTGCTGAATTCGCAATATACCATTTATTTTATTTGACAGCGGAATTTATGATTTTAAAGAAGAAAAAATGTTTGGTCTATACCATGACAAGAAACATTTGTTTTTTTTTTTCTGGTTCGTTGGTTAGATTTTCTGGAAAAGAACTAAAACTTAGAAGAAGAACAAAAAAAAAAAGAACAAAAAATTGTGAAAAAATAAATAAGAGGGATTGAAACGGAAATGGCGACTAATATAGAGACCTCCCAATATACCTAATCATGGTCTCTCGGAGCCTTAAAAATTGGTAGACTTTGTCAATCTATGATGAAACTGAATATAAATTCAAGAGCAATGATAGTTATAAAATCGGATATTTTGGATTGATTTGATCCGGCCGGTTCATATCTAATCGTGGGTGTAAAAATTGCATCGGTTCTCATGGGGAAAAAGATTTGTTTTTGATTTTCATTTGGGTTTTTAAATTTTAAATTTTTTTTAGAAAACGTTGTAACCAAGTTGACGTTGTTATATGACAGATTAGTTTAACCATGTTGATGAATTAAGATTCATTCAACTTTAGATAAAGTTTTATTCAGGCAAAATATGTTAGGAAGCAATTAAATACCCTAAGATAAACTAAGTGAACCGGAGAAACCAAAAATTAAAACCTTAATTTTTTAAAACGTACATAATAACATACTCATATACAAAAAAATAAACTGAAACAGAGGTAACACGTCAGCGCCAGGTAAGCTATCTGACCAAGTTCGTAAGTTAAAGAGCGTGTGTACGGATGGGACAACACACGACGAACACAAGTTTACAAAATTGCAGTCTACGCCACTGAAACAGATTTTGTCAAACTCAAAAGATTTTCGGTTGCAATGTATACGCTCTGTTTATAAATAAACCCTAGAACTTCACAAACTTTCCATTAATTAAATTTTTAAAAAGACGGAAATGGCTTCTTCTTATCAAATGTACAAGCTAATCACCATTTTGATTATCTTCTTCTCCTTCACATTAACATGTCTCGCGGAAAACGCCGAGCTCGCAGGTGTTGGTCAATGCAAATCCGGACCACGAGCATCGTTTTGCCACAACAACAAAGAATCGAGGAAACTCAAATTCATAGCTATTGCCTCCATCTTAGCTGCGAGTATGATCGGTGTTTCTTTACCGTTGATTACTCGTAAAATTCCGGCCTTGGGACCAGACCGAGATCTTTTCGTGATCGTTAAGGCATTGGCCTCGGGGGTTATCTTAGCGACGGGTTATATGCACGTGTTACCTGACTCTTTTGCCGATCTCAATTCCTTTTGCTTGCCAAGAAAGCCGTGGAGGAAATTTCCTTTCACGACGTTTATCGCTATGATCTCGGCCTTGTTCACATTGATGGTTGATTCTTATGCAATGAGTTGGCAGAAGAAGAGGATGTTAAAACCGCAAGAAAATGTCGTCGATGAAACCCTAGAGAATGGATCTAAGGAACTGGAGAAAGAAAACGACGCAAAATCTCAGCTTATTAGATATCAAGTCATTGCTCAGGTAGGCTAATCATTCACAACTTACTTTTATCCTTTGTTGAAATTTATTACAATTTAATATTTCATGAACCCTAATTGTGATGATAAACAATTGGTGCTAGGTATTGGAGCTAGGGATTGTAGTGCATTCGATTGTAATCGGCCTCGCAATGGGGGCTTCCGATAACAAATGTACCATACGTTCCCTCATCGCCGCTCTTTGTTTTCACCAGCTTTTCGAAGGCATGGGACTTGGCGGTTGCATTCTTCAGGTACCTTAATTAGACCAACAATCACTTAGCCAGTAATAAAGTGACTGTACAAACTCTTTATAATAGATTGGTGCTATTTTTGTTGGTTTTTTAGGCGCAATATGGAGGGAAAATGAGATTGATAATGGTGTTTTTTTTCTCGGTCACGACACCATTAGGGATCGCTCTAGGAATGTTGTTACAAACAGTGTACAGCCCGACCAGTCCAACGGCATTGATCGTGGTCGGGGTCTTAAACGCGTGTTCGGCTGGTTTATTGAACTACATGGCACTTGTTGATCTACTGGGTGCAGATTTTTTGGGACCAAAGTTGCAAGGGAACATGAAACTTCAGTCACTGGCTTATGTTGCTGTTTTTCTTGGTGCTGGAGGAATGTCTTTAATGGCCAAATGGGCTTAGAAAAAGAATTCAAAATCGAGTTATATATAAGACAATGTCCATATCAATTTCTTAGACTTGTTTTGCAGTATGCCATATGATGGTACGCAATAAGCACAATGGCTACAGACCAGCTCATCCTTTGTTGAGTGATCCAATAAAATATTGTTTTAACCACGGCCTTATTATCTTTTCCTTCTATCACTGTACTAATATATCTTATTTTGTGGAGAAAATCTAATAGGAAAAAACTGCTCATCATGCCTAAGATCCATAGAATTTATCAGAAAAATATATCAGTTCCATAGTTAGAAAGATCACGAAAAATACGAGTTATCAAGAATTTTATAAAATAAACATTTTTTTTCGTTGATTGTTTGACCCTGAATATTGATTTCAAAGCAAAAAAAAATCTCATATTTGGTATTGTGGTCTACTCTTGGTTCATCAATAAAAAATTCTTATAATTAATTTGCATTACAAAATTTGGTTATAAAAGCTCACATATAAGTTAATAATACATGTTTAATACGGAACCTGATCTAGTGTTTTGCTTGAATATAATTATGCTCCTCGCCAAATAGTTTGAAATTCCAAAAAGAACAATAGAAAACAAAAGTAAACAAAGTCTAAACTAGTAGGTAGACAATTTGCTATGATGATAATTTTTGCGGAGTTATTCTGAAAACCAGTTTTGTCTTTAGATTTTGACTTGAACGGTTAAGCAAAAAAATCAAGTGAAAAAAAAAAACAAAATAGACGCATGATGGGCTCAAATTTTTTTTTGTTTTTAGGGTCAACAAGAATGCTACTTATAGTGTCCTAATATGTTTTGCTCCGTCGATATGTTAGAAAAATTAACTGAAGCATATTTATTATTTATGGTAACCTTTTTACAGAAATTGTTGAGTCATTAATTACTCTTCATTTTTCTTGGATCATCAATTTTTCTTTTTTGGGGTTTGTCTTCAGACTAGTTAGTCAATTCTCTATCCTCAGTTTTAAAAACCTCAACTTGAGACTCATTCCTAAATCTATATTTGTTTAGTTGAACTGCATTGAATTGGACATTCCTGATTTTAGATTGAATTGGATCCTAGCTAACTCGATGCTTCTTCAAACTCAGCCAAACTTTTGATGGTCAACGTAACTTCATTTACATTAATAGAATCAAATAGTTTCGAACACATAAAATCATTCTAAAAAGGAAACTTATATTTTTTGGAACAAAGGTATCAAATAGTAAGGTAATATTTTTTGGAAACTTATATATATTGAAACAAAGGTAATAATATATTGGCGTTGCAAGTCCATCTGTGATATCAAATAGGTATCAAATAGTCAACATGTTAATTAAATTGCCATTTCCATGCTTCAAAACACACTATTTAAATGTTCTCATCAACCACCATAAAAAAATTTAAAGAAAACATTATCAAAAACAGTAGATCCTAAACTCTAAATTGATAAACACGTAATTTCAAGTTTAAGATATGATGCAATCAAAGACGACACTGCTCATTTTGTTCACCCTCTTCCTTTCCTGTAAGTCTCGATTTCTCTCTCTTATCAATCAAAACGATTTGAAATATAGCTTGACTCCATTGGAATTGTAAAAACTGTATAGATATATTGTTGGTGAGCGTTCCAGGAGCTGATAATTCCATGCAAGACATCAGAACAATGTAAATCGATTCGATGTTCGAACGGAAGTGGGCAATGTGTGAACGGACAATGCCAATGTCCGAGCCTCAAACCTGTTAACCCGATGACGACAAATACTCCCGTGAAGTGCAAGACGACAAATACTCCCGAAAAATGATTATGCTTGCATTAATGCACTTGTTTGCCTTAGTACGTTAAATGTTCAAATTAATAACTTAAATTTATCCAAGGTTCAATAAAACAAAAATTTAGCTATATTTATTGATTCTTCTGCTGTTTCCAGTGGCAACTAGCAAGCAATCACATTAGTATATTGCTTTTTATAAAAGGGAAATAAAATGTTTAAAAAAAAAAAATCACATTAGTATATTAGACTCTTTTATTACTACTTCTTTAAATATGCATGGTCTTATGTATATCTATCCATAATTACAAATGAAAAAATGAAAAAAGTTACAGTACGTATAGAGATCTAATGAAATTCTATGGGAAACTCTATCGACCGAAATATCTAATCGTAGAATATGTGATGTTACATCAACATAATAAATTGTGTTTAATATTATTTAATAAAAATGTAAGTCTTATAGAGTTATAGAAGATTATAAAGATCTATCAAAAACGTTTATAAAAAACTACTAAAAAATACGTTTATCCTAACAAAGACGTTTATCCTATTTAAATATTTAGAGTTAAAGTTCCAATATAAAAAATAAAAAATATAAAAAATGATAAATACATTATATAGAAATATTAAAACTAATAATTACAATATATTTTTGATATTTTTTTATAGTTGTTTTTTATTTGTTGTTATATTAATGTGCCTGTGCGATTGTAGTTTTCGAAATTTAAAGTAAATGTGCATAAATATTTTTTTTAAAAATGAACCAAGAGAGAGCCTTCGTGAAAAATACAAGTGCTTTATTTTAAAGGGGAAAAATAGGTGTTCAAACTAAATGAATAACCCTAATGAACGTATCAAATTATTGTGTAATATTCCCTAGCAAGCCTACCTACTTGCCACAGGGTTGCTCTAAAGGAAAAAAAAAAAATCTGTGAGTCATGCTTACAGAAGGGAAAATGCATTCACCCAAATTTAGATTAAATTAGCCAACAATATATATACACGTTAGCCTTCAGTTAATTTGGTTAAATCGAGCTTAAGACGAAATTTGCATGTTTTATTATGATAATAATTAACGTAAGAAATTTATGAAAATACTATAGAATATAGATTGAGTAAATATATGCAGTTGCAGTAATATCAAATTCTCATTTAAATTAGTCAAAACAATTTAGATAACTGTCTATAAATACAGTTATAAAACATTTGACTATCTCTTTGACAAGGAAAAAAAAACATTTGACTATCTCAGAGGTCGAAGAAATTATAAATAACAAAGGAATTCTTAGTCCCATCTACTAACTACCGAATAGAAATGGCATCAAAGGCAAATTCCCTCTTGCTCATTGCCCTTGTTATTGTCTCATGTAAGTCTCTCCAGATCTCTCTATCTCACTAATCCCATTTTTTTCCAATAACAAAGATATAATAATTAAATGATTATATACACATGCTATTAGGAGGATTTTTAGCGTAGCAGTCTCTTTTTGAATGGATTTTCTTATAATGGGACTAAAAAAAACTGGTTTGACATATTTTATGATTATATAACATTGTTTTACCGAGTAATCTGTAGGTGTATCGATTTCACGTGCTAGAGAAATAGAGTCTCCAGCTATAGAGACGATGTGCCTAGGAGATTGTCCACCAGAGCAGCGGCCGTTAGGGACGAACCAGTTTGGGAGTTGCAAAACTGACGCAGATTGCGTCAAGAAATGTTTCCCTTCTTGTAGAATTAGAAAATGTTTTGGCGATTCATGCATGTGTAATTTTTGTTAAAATATATAATCTAGACAGTCGAACTGAATGCACCAATTAAAATTGTTAACAAGAACATGTTGTGGTTATCCGTTGGTTAGACAATTGTACTATGTAATCATATTTCGGTTCATTTCAATGAAAGAGATCTATTATTTAATTTTTCTTATATTGGCTCGCTCATCGCATATAATCACCAAAAGAAAAAATAAAGAAGAAGCAAAACTAATAATGATAAACCATGATTTTTTTTCAATTTTAACAATACTATATAACTCGACCTCTATTCTTTAATTAATCAAAAATTCGTCTAATTCTCGTCAATCAACATAGATAGCAATGACATGTATTGCAATCACATGCATGATTATGTATACAGACTTTGTATTTGCACGTTTGAGGACATATTCCGTTACAGTTAGAGTTTCTTTTGCAACGCGGATGCTGTTCGATGTCAGAGATAGGACTGATCGTTGAAGTAGTAAAAACTCTATGACCATTAATTAGGGGATTACCTATTTCTGGCGGCCAATCTTTGGATTTCGCATCAGATACCAACAACAAATCTGCATCGGAATAATTTCAAAACGTAGTAAATATATTGCCAACGAAAATTTAAAAAATCGATGTTTCAAATGTGAAGCTATGGTATGTGTACTTCTTACAAGATACAACGATAAGAGCGAATATGAAGTGAATGATAAGTTTCGCCATAGTGTTTGAGTTTTCGAAAGCGAATAGTTTGTTTTGGTGTGAATAATTTCTCTTACTAGTTATGTAAGTTCATTATATAGGTAATTGATTTCACCACTGCAAAAGCTACCGAAATGTTGGATTTTTATTACGGTAATATGCAGAAAACTTGACTAATATTGTTAGTAAAAACAGAAGAATTAAGTAAGTTCATAATTTAATTAATTGACTTCATAAGTTCAAAAGCTACATAAATGTTATACCCTTATTATGGTGATATACAGAAACTTGTACTGTTTGTAGTATTTTAAGAGGTAAAATAATATTGGTTTAGGGATAAAATAATTAAGTAACTTCATTATTTAGTTGATTGCCTTCATAGGTTCAAAAACTACGTAAATGTTTGACTGATCCAAAAAATCCAATTTTAACCCAAAATTGATCATGTGAGAGTTCTATGGTGATGAATGGTTAGAAGCTATTATCTCTGATAGAAAATATCACCATTTTATTGTTTTTTGGTGGCTCTGGAAAACCTTTTCCTTCCCTTTCTTTATCGCTCCCTTCGCGGAAGCTCAAAAATTATATTCGTTAGTCTTCAATGCTAAAACAGTTTCTACATAAATTGATAGCCTCTTCATATATGGGCTTGATTCAGTTTGGTTCCCTTTTGCTTGTGTATTTGGGCTACAAATCAGTACTGTATTTTTCTTTCTCATGCTTTTTAATAGAAACTTTTTCTTACAAAAGTAAAAAACAGGAATGGATTAAGTGGACCAGTGGCAAAAACAATTTCCGTATGTCCAATATTTGTTTTCAGTGGCGGATGTGAATTCTTACCGGCCTTGGGGAATTTTGAAAACCACATATCAGCCACATATCTCCCTGATTAGATAAGAAGAGACATCTAGAATTAAATTACATGTGCAAAAGAGCAATATAACTTCTTTCTAACCCACAAAAAGTTCATTTCCTGGTGGAAAAAGAACACTATAAAGTGTGTTTGTATATATATAGGGAAAATCCGAAATATGTAGACAAATCAAGATATGTTCGTACGAATGTGTAAACATATAATATGAATTAAAGGATATGTCTTGATCTAAAACTAGAGAGGCATGATTTGACATAGGCATCATATTATCCAGAAATGATTCGGGTTCTTAACGTGTGAAAGTTGGTTTGCCTAGTAAAGGGAATAGTACAATAGAAAATAGAAAGTATTTAATAGAAAATACTTTGGATGCCATTACAGCTCTGCTTACGAAGGGAGGGGGAATCGAAAATTCAAGGTGTTAATATGGACCACAATCTGCTAACCAATCCAGCTCGATCGGCCATGCATGTAAACCACCGTTAAAGTTAGAATATATATATATATATATATAATACTAGTGACGATGGGCTCACATGTTTGACGAATCAACAACTTACGCGCACAAAATACTCCTGCTAAAACTTTTTAATTTTGTAAATTAATAACCTTTGGTAAACTAATTATATTATTTTCGAATCAAAATGCCAGACGTAGTTTTTCCGGCAACACATTCATTCATGATAGACCACGAGGTCCACGACATACAAGATCACGACAAACAGTTTTACCTGCAATATTCTAAAAGCTCCCATAAACTTTGTATTGATTAATATGTAAAACTGTATTTTTTAAGGAATCGATGCATAAACCTTTGAACCCTTGACCATTAGATTTAGAACCCTTGACCGGTATATGAATATGGGATCTCCATGTTAAAATAAAATAGGCTAAGAAATGTTAGATGCACATATCAGCAAACGGTAGCATTACAAGAAATTTATCTAGTATCCCTCTAGCAGGTAGATTTTTATTTTTGTGTGTTTTTGTTATTATTCTAACATGTCTGGGCTAGCTAGGTCCATTAACTACTATTACTAAGAAAGAGTTAGGAATTAGGATGAAACCCTGGAAATTGTGGGGTGAATAAAGCGTTATCTAATCCACTTCTCCAAAATTGTTATAATTTAAAACCCAAATCTAAAACCATAACGTTTTACATTATATCACATATTGATAATTAAATCGTCCAAATCAAAATGGAGGTTCCAACGTTTGAAGTTGACATCTCTGCTGACGCCAGTTCGCAGCAGTTAGGTTTAGAGATGCCAATGATTTAATTATTTTAATTAAATAAACACAAAACCTTGTCTCCCTTTGTTTTTCCTCCGAGATCACTTCTTTTTAATATATTTTTTACAATTTCTTGTCGCTTACCAATTGGCTTCTTCGTGCGTGGGGCTCAACAGAGAGAATTATGTGGCTCTCCTTCGTCGAAATTTTTTTATTTTATTTTCAATGGTGTTTAATTTTAATATATTAGATTTGTGCTTTGATATGCTGTGATTTGGATAATCTGCCTCTTCAAGTCGAATTCGATGATTGTATGCTGCCTCTTCCCGCTAAACAGCGACTCCAATCAGTGATCAAACGGTTAAGTACAAAACAATGTCATAAGATGCTACTAAATACTTTAACAAAAGTTGCTATTGAATAATAAGAAAAAATACAGTAAGCAGGCTGAAGATGTTTTCGGCAATAAATTTTTGCAAACTCTTTTTTTTATATGTCATCTCGAGTTCTAAAACTAAAGTAAATTTGACTATATTGTTCTATACTTCTATACACAATCAAAATCGACTACTTATACTTTTTCTAATACAAATTCGAATCTCATTATTATTTTAAACCAGTTGAATTTCTAATAGTCGCAAGAGAACATTTCTTTTGTTTATCACTTATTATTTCACAAACGTATAATCCTAGGTTAAACTTAAATTATGATACTTTGTTAAAAAAAAAAACTTAAATTCTGATACAAGACGGCTTTATTTTTATTTTTTAATGGGAGTTCACTGTCTAAAAAACTAGAATCTAATGTTTCTAGTAAAATTTGTTATCAATTTGTCGTATTCTTTCTCATTTATTGATATCTAATGGAGATTATGATTAAAGCAAACGACATATTTAGACCCTTTTTTATATAAATCAGAAAAAAGAAAAGCAAAAGCCTACGTCCTTTATTATATTAATACGGACGGATAGAGTCACGTTACGGTATTACTGCACGTCTTCTAGTTACAATATCAGACAAAGGCATCTTAATACTAGGTTTATGTAACATGCACGCACCTGACTTGACTGTGACTTATTATATATCATCTTTAGTTAAATTAAAATCCTTTTGTAGAAATTGCTCAAATGTGTGTGTCAATAGATCGACTAAATGAAATTCAGAAGCATTCCCGAATATTCAAATTAATTCGATGCGGACGACACGTGTCGCAGTAAAACAACAAAGAACTGGCAAAATGGTTTACGTAATTCAATAACATAGGCTTAGGCCCAAAATGCTTAATTAAAATAATTAGTGGCGGAAGTGTGAGTGGATCACTACCTTAACTTGATTGCTTAAGCCAATAAGACGCTTAATTACGATCAAGAAATTAATCATATATCAACTAGATGAGGTGCCGTACATACGCACGGGTTTTCTTTCAGGTTGTAAGACTTTCGAATTAAAGTTACAATTTTATTGTAAGAAGAAATTTCTTATCACCACGTAAAGTTTGTTTGGTTTTTTTTTTTTGACATCTTAAAGTTTGTTTGGTTTTAGTTAGAAATTTGCGTTCTATATATTGATGTCTTTCAATTACATCATGTAAATTAATACACCAAAAAAATACAGAATATAGATAGGATAAGAGAATTTAATAAGTGTAATATTAGTTTAGAAAATGTATATATCAAAATGTTCAGTAAAAGTAAAACCTAATGCATCTATGATTGTATTAGATTTACACGTGATGAAATATTATGTTTTTTTTTTTGCTTGGCATTGTTAGTCTTTTAGTTATTGTTTGATAAGATTAATCCACGTTTCAAACCTCGTTATTTAATCATAATACTTTAATTAGTTTTTCATTTTAGAAAATTATAACATAGATGTTGAGGAAAATTACAAAGGGGTTTGTTAAATTATTTATTAATATTTAAAATTATTTATTAATTATAACAAGTTGACGTATCAGATAGTGAGATGTTTATGTGTCAACTTATATATATATATACACATATATTTGTTCACTCTTATTTATTTATTATTTATATATAGCGTAATACAAATATTTATATAATTGCTGTTTTTTTTCAAAGAAAGCTTTAATTTCGACCCACATGACACACCAATAAAAGAGTACGTGATTAGGTATGAAGGATTCAAATAACTGAAATTGAGATCATTTTCTTTCCCAAACAGAGAAAGACATGTAGTAATCATAAGAGATTACTATTTAGGGTTAGTGACATCTTCTACAGGGATATTGCATAAATACAACCAAGATGGATCTGGATCTTTTTTTTTAACAACTCATTCATTAGTAATAATTCTCAAAGAACAGATGGATCTGGATCTACTAGTGTTGATTCAACACATAATACAAGTTTCTTAGCATGAAAAAAAAAAGTATCATAGCATGAAGAGGGAAAAAAAGACAAGCTTATCCTCTTTAGTCCAATAAAATATATATAAATATTAAAATATGGGGCTGCTTTGTAGTGAAGTGGGGGAAAGTGGAGACAGTCGTCATAATGTTATTTGCAAAATGGTACACTTCCATAATCAAATTGTACCGTAGGGTCGGTCATAGGCTCTTCTCAATGTCTCTCAAAATGGGTATATTTGAAACTTGAAAGCTGCCAAAAAAAATAGAAACATGAATTTTTCTTTTCTTTTTTTCTGTCATATAAATTTAGAAATTATCCGGTGACGCGTGCTCAACACAGTCCCTCATTGCGATGTCCTATCACACAAACTTTTACCTCACAATGTCGACCGGAATTTCTTTTTTCTTGATTTTGTTACGGAACAAATCTCTAGATCTGTGTTTATATATGGCTAATTAGAAATGAAACTTTGTGGAAGTTCTTTTTTTTTGGGGAGACCTGTGTGGAAATTATTATCTTCTACAGTTCTACTAAACACAGTTTCATTTTTCGATATA